AAACCACTAGAAAACCGGAAGTGGCACTGTGGCTCAAGTGGTAGAGTGCTAGCCTTGAGCTGAAGAGCTGAGGGACAGCGCCCAAGTCCAGAGTTCAAGCCCCATGACCTACAAAATAAAAATAAAAAAAAAAATCTATATAAGCTGGGCACCGGTGGCTCATGCTTGTAATCCTAGCTACTCAGGAGGCTGAAATCTGAGGATCGCTGTTCAAAGCCAGCCCGGGCAGGAAAGTTCGTGAGACTCTTACCTCCAATAAACCACTAGAAAACCGGAAGTGTTGCTGTGGCTCAAGCAGTAGAGTGCTCACCTTGAGTTGAAGAGCACAAGGACAGCGCCCAAGCCCAGACTGCAAGCCCCAAGACCGACAAAAAAAAAAAAAAGCTAAGCTATGTAGAAATATTTGATACTAAATCTTCACATTCTAGCCTTTGATTTACACTTGGGCTCCACTGCTGCTTGGCTATGTAACCTGGACAAGTTACTTAACCTTTATGCTTTTTTCCCCTCATTAGTAGAATGAAAACACTGTAATAATTACCTCTTGAAAGTGAAATGAGATAGCCAATTTAAAGCCTTAACATGGTGCTACTTAGGAGGCTGAGATTCTAGGATCATAGTTTGAAGCCACCCTAGGCAGGAAAGTCATGAGATTCCAATTAATCACCAAAAAGCTGGAAGTGATTCTGGCTCAAGTGGTAGACTGCCAGACTTGAGCAAAAAAACTGAGGGACAGTGTCCTATGTTCAAGTTTCAGGACTGTATCAAAAACAAAAAAAGTTACTTACTATAAATGTTACTTATTATCATTGTTAATAAAAATACATTTTTAATAAGTATAATTAGAATTAACATATATAAGAAATAAGAATATTCTAAAGTGAAATGATCTAAATCAATCATCAAGAAATAAGTTTAATCAGTCTGTATTAAAATTGAATTTAGAAAATACAATGAATTTTACATTGTACCAGTGGTGCATGTTTATAATCGTAGTTACTCAAGAAGCTGAGATCTGAAGATAGTGGTTCAAAGCCAGCCTGACCGGACAAATCCTCAGGACTCTTTTACCTCCAGTTAACCAGCAAAAAGCAGAATTGAGGGTGTGGTTTAAGTAGTAGAGCTACTATTGTGAGCCAGAAAGCAGAGCAAGAGTAAAAGGCTCTGGGTTCAAGCCTGGTGCTGGCATTTAAAAACGGAGCAACAAGTGGTATAGCGCTAGCCTTGAGCTGAAGAGCTGAGGGACAGTGCCCAGGCCCAGAGTTCAAGCCCTAAGACTGACCAAAAAAAAAGGCTCAAGAAAGCCAGGCACTGGTGGCTCATGCTCGTAATCCTAGCTACTCAGGAGTCTGAGATAAGAGGATCATGGTTCAAAGCCAGCGTGAGCAGGAAAGTCCATAAGAAACTTATTTCCAGTTAACCTCCAGAAAACCGAAATGGCCCTATGGCTCAAGTGGTAGAGTAGGACCTAGCCTTGAGCTGAAGAGCTGAGGGACAGTACCTAGGGCCAGAGTTCAAGCACCACAACCGACAAAAAAAAAAAAAAAAGCAAGGAAAGAAAAAAAAAAAGCCACTTCTGGCTTTTGGATCCTTATGGCTTTTTTTTTTTTTGGTCGGTCGTGGGGCTTGAACTCTGGGCCTGGGCACTGTCCCTCAGCTCTTCAGCTCAAGGCGAGTGCTCTACCACTTAAGCTACAGTGCCACTTCCGGTTTTCTGGTGGTTTATTAGAGATAGGAGTCTCACAGTCTTTCCTGCCCGGGCTGGCTTTGAACCGAGATCCTCAGATCTCAGCCTCCTGAGTAGCTAGGATTATAGGCGTGAGCCACTGGCGCCTGGCCCTTATTTATTTTTTCTTTTCTTTTTTTTTTTTTTGGTCCAGTCGTGGGGCCTGAACTCTGGGCCTGGGCGCTGTCCCTCAGCTCTTCAGCTCAAGGCTAGCACTCTATCACTTGAGCCACTTCCGTTTTTTTTTTTTTTCTGCTTATGTGGTGCTGAGGAATCTAACCCAGGGCCTCATGCATGCAAGGCAAGTGCTCTACCACTGAGCCACTTTCCCAGCCCATGGCTTTTGGATCTTTAATTGGAGATATGAGTCTCTAAGATTTTCCTGCCCAGGCTGGCTTCCGAGATCCTTAAATCTTAGCCTCCTGAGTAGATGGGATTATAAGTATAAGCCAATGGCTTATACTTATACCTGGATTAGTTTTTTAATATTAAGCTCTCTTGGTTGTACTGTATAAATTTAAAATTTGCTATTTGTTTATTTTTAGGGAGTTCCAATGAATTCACTCAGGTTTCTCTTTGAAGGTCAGAGAATTGCTGATAATCATACTCCAAAAGAAGTGAGTATCCTCTTGAATTTTTTTTTTCCTTTTTGTCAGTTGTGGAGCTTGAATTCGGAGCCTGGATGCTGTTTCTGAGCTCCTTTGCTCAAGGCTAGCACTCTACTACTTGAGCTACAGTGCCACTTCCAGTTTTCTGGTGGTTAATTGGAGATGAGTCTCTCAGACTTTCCTTCCTGGGTTGGCTTTGAACCATGATCTTCAGTTCTCAGCCTCCTGAGCAGCTAGATAGGGGTGAGCCACCAGTGCCCAGCTGAATTAAAAGAAACAAAGGTGTTGGGGTTGTAGCTCATTGGTGGAGCATGTGCTTAGCATTCATAAAGTCCTGTTTTTTTCTTCCAACATTACAAAACAAAGTGTGTATGTACATGAATGCATAAATGCACATATGTTTTTGGGAGTATGCTAGGGTTTGAATGCAGGGCCTTGTACTTGCTAGGTAGGCACTGTCTGTCTATTCTAGCCTATCTAGTTGGTTCTGCCAGTCCTGAGACTTGAGCTCAGGGCCTGAGTTCCTGAGCCTCTCTGTGCTTAAGCCTAGTGCTCTGCCCCTTGAGCTACAGTACCACTTCCAGCTTTTTCTGAGTAGTTTATTGGAGACAAGAGTCTTGTGGACTTTCCTGCCCTGCTAGGGCTGGCTTCAAACTGTCTGCCTCTTGAGTAGCTAGGATTGCAGGTTGTTTTCTTTTTGGCTTGTACTGGATTTGAACTCAGAGCTTCGTGTTTGCTTGGCTGGCACTCTTCCACTTGATCCACTCCTTCAGCCTAGGTTTTTGTTGGTTATTTTGGAATGAGAGTCTTTTGGACAGAAAGTCCTTTTCTGTTTGAGCAAGCTTCAAAGTGCAGCCCTCTGGGTCTTAGCCTCTTGTGTAGCTAGGTTTACAGGTGTGAGCCACTGACACCCTGTTCCCTGTTAATACTTCAATTTTATATAGTGAATCATTTGGGAAGTGAAATTGACACAGTAAAAAGAATAGCTGGATAATCCGAACTGAAAGGAGGATATAACTACTCTTTTTAGGTGTTGGAGGTAAGGTGTTTTGAACCTAGAGCTCTAAACATGGAAGGTAAATCACTAAGTGATATCCCTGGCCCTTCTAGGTTCTTTAGGTGAAAGAACTGTAGAACACTTCAAAATAGTGGTCACATAATTGCAGCCAATTTTAAAATAGTGAATTTATATTCTCTTACTAACATTTTTCTCCTCTTACAGCTGGGAATGGAGGAAGAAGATGTGATTGAAGTTTATCAGGAACAAACGGGGGGTCATTCAGCAGTTTAGATATTCTTTTTATTTTCTTTTTCTTTTGCCTCAATCCTTTTTTATTTTTAAAAATAGTTCTTTTGTAATGTGGTGTTCAAAATGGAACTGAATACTGGCACTCCCATCTCTTTAAAACATCTGTTAATTTGATTCTAGTGCTCATTATTATCATTTGTTTTCATTGTGCTGATTTTTAGTGATCAAACCTCAGCTCCTTTCACATTGCCCTCTCATTTTAAAAAATGACGTATGTGCACAGAGAGGCCACTTTTCAGGACTGCAATTTTAGGTAACATCGACCAATGCGAGTGTTCACAAAGACTTTCCAATTGGCCCTGAAGTTCTAGCATGTGATTGCTTCACTCCTGGACTATGACTTTCAGTGGTAGATGGAAGTTTTTCATAGAACTGAACTGTGGGGAAAATGACCTTTCCTTAACTTGAAGCTACTTTTTAAAAGTCTGAGGGTTTGGACCAAAAGAAGAGGAAGATACCAGGATTGGAATCAAGCTGGCAGACATGGTAAGAGTGATGCTTAACTCCAAAGATGGCTTCACTGAAGAGAAAGTGTTTTAAGATTAAAAAAAAATCTTGTCAGAAGAACCCAGAAAAGTTCTAATTTTCATTAGAAGTTAATAAAGTTGTTCATGAAGAAGTGTATACAACAGAACACTGCTCCTTTTGATTTTATTTGTACTTTTTGGCCTGGGACATGGGTTTTAAATGGACACTGTCTGTACCAGCCTCATTAAAATAAACAATATTTGTAAAAATCGCACTAGTGCTCATTTTATTTTAAATGTATAGAAGAAGAAAACTAAAGGTTTTCTTGCATGGTACTGGAAATCATTTGCATACGGTACAAGTATTTCTTCAGTACTGTATAGTGATGATGTTAATAACTTTCACTGAAAGTTACTGAAGTGCCTTCTGAATCAAAGATTTAACTAAGACCATAGTATCTTTGAAAATATTCAATGTTTTGCTTTTTAAAAAATTGACATTCCTGTATGGTGCATATAATGATAGCTACCCAATTCAATTGAATAAATGGGCATGCCAAAAAATTCTCAGTTGGTTTATGGTGATAATTTCAGTTTAACAGTTTACAAAATGTCTGCTTAGTTAGGATTCGGTATATTTATTTTTTTAAACCAGTTGTGGGTCTTGTGGGGCCTGGGCACTGTCCCTAAAATCTTCAGCTCAAGTCGAGTGCTCTACCACTTGAGCCACAGCCCCATTTCTGGTTTTCTGGGGGTTAATTGGAGATAGGAATGTCATGAATTTTCCTGGCTTTGAACTGTGATCCTCAGATCTCAGCCTCCCTAGTAGTTAGGATTATAGGCATGAGCCACCTGTACCTAGCTAGTAAATTTCTTCATATTTTCCTTTTAGTTACGTTGCAAATTGTTAAACTTTACATGAAATACAAATAACTTTTATTTCTTCTAGAGTGTTAAATTTTTCCTCTTAACTCTAGTGAATCACAAAATTCAGCATATTTCTGTATATATTCAATCCTATTTCCACTGTTAATCTCAGGTAGAATGCCTCCAAATACTTGAGAGCAAGTACAATCTAACTGTTAACAATTTAAGTATCCATCTCAAGCTACTTGTTGAAAAAAAGTAGATTGGTTTGATCTTATAGACTACATTTGACTCCACATGAAAGAAATAATTTGAATTATGTAAATTAAAGCTTTGAGACTGTAATTTGACATTTATCATAATTATTAACAGTGCCTGGGAATAAGGTTCAGTTTTAGAAAATCTTCATGAGTTGGCTCTTTTTTTTATGCTGGGCTTGGGCACTGTCTCAGATTTGTGCTCAAGGCTAGTGCTCTACCACTTGACCAGTTTTCATTTCAGCTTTTTTTAAAAGTTAATTGGAGATAAAAGTCTTAATGGATTGGCTTTGAACCTCGATCCTTAGATTTTAGCCCCCTGAGTAGCTAGAACTACAGGCGTGAGCCACTGGTGCCCGGCAAAGTGCATATTTTAGCCAATATTGAACAAATCTGGCTAGCTCACTTATCCAGAATAAGTGAATATTATGTAGGTTTTTTTTGCTGGTCATGGGGCTTAAACTCTGGGCCTAGCACTGTCCCTTAGCTCTTTAGCTCAAGGCTAGCACTGTACCACTTGAGCTACAGCGCCACTTCAGGTTTGCTGGTGGTTTACTGGAGATAAGAGTTTCATAGACTTTCCTGATCTCTGCCCCCTGAGTAGGATTACAGGCGTGAGCCACCAGTGCCTGGCTAATAGGTAGTTTTAAGATTTTAATTTTGTTTACCTTTCTAAATGTCTGAAGGCTTCTTAGCATTTAGATGGAGCTTAGTAAGAAGTAATTTTGTTTAGTTTTTTGAATTCTTCTAAATTGTTATGTTCTGCTATGGCTAACTTAAAAATGTGCTTATCTGATAAAATGGACACTTCAAAGCAAAAATCTAATAGAACATCACATTTCGAAGAATATCACATTGGAAGTAGCTTGTCTATCTGGTGCTTGACTACAACTTCCTACGTTTATAAACGGGAGAAATTAAGGTCCATAATGCTAATTTTCTCTACCTGGATGTTTTCCTTTAGTGGTTATTCTTCTGTTCTTGGTTGAATTAGTTGAGATGCTCTTATCTGCTTAAGTACTATTGAATAATTTGAATAAATATGCATGTGGAATCAGTAAGTTAAAAAAAAAAGCTCAAATAACAATTTGAATTTATTACCCATGCATTGTTCTTGCTTTATATACCATACTGAGTTAAAACATTGAGTCTAAGCAAATCCATCAACAACATTGAATCCAAATTAAGGTTTAGAGGTGTAATTTCTAAGGAAATCAAATGAGCATTAGTGAGAAATTGGAGGGAATTACCTAATACTGTTTTTCTATATATGGTCAAGTAGGACCAATAAAAATTTGTGGAAAGACTTATTTGCTTGATGGTGTGATTTTTTTTTTTTTTTTAATGTCGTGGAGCTTGAACTCTGGGCCTGGGTGCTGTCTCTCAGCTCTTCAGCTCAAGGCAAGTGCTCTACCACTTGAGCCACAGGGCCACTTATGGTTTTCTAAGTGGTTTATCGGAGATGAGACTCATGGACTTTCCTGCCCAGGCTGGCTTTTGAACCCTGATCCTCAGATCTCAGCCTCCTGAGTAGCTAGGATTACAGGTGTGAGCCACCAGTGCCCTGCTTGATGGTGTGGTTTTTAAATAAAATTTGTGAGTGTCTTCAAGGCAAAGGAGCAAAAAATTCTCAGGGCTCAAAATTAATCCTGTTAGAACTTTTGTGATGTGGAAATATTCTATATTAGTGCTGTCTGATATAATAGCACTTGAAGCGTAGCTGCTTTGAAAGATTGAATGCCTTTATTTTATTTTATTTTTTGGGTCCGGTCGTGGGGCCTGAACTCTGGGCCTGGGCACTGTCCCTCAGCTCTTCAGCTCAAGGCTAGCACTCTACCACTTGAGCTACAGCACCACTTCCGGCTTTTTTCTTTTTTCTTATGTGGTGCTGAGGAATCGAACCCAGGGCCTCAGGCATGCAAGGCAAGCGCTCTACCACTGAGCCAACTTCCCAGCCCCTTGAATACCTTTAATAGTTACATGTTATGTATATCTTATGTGACTGTGGTGCTCTAGACTGTATGCTTCTAGGCTGTGAAAGAATTACCTCACAAAACATTTCTTTTTGCTCCCCTCTCCAATTTTTCTTTCTCACTTCCCCCCCCACCCCCAAGTCCTGGGGTTTGAACTCAGGGCCTGGACACTGTCCCAGAGTTTCTTTTGTCCAAGTTTAGCACTCTTACCACTTGAGGCACAGCGCCACTCCTGGCTTTTTCTGTTATGTGGTACTGAGAAATCGAACCCAAGACTTCATGCATGCTAGGCAAGCACTCTACCACTAAGCCACATTCCCAGCCCATCCCCCCCCAATTTTTTATTATCTTTAGTACCAAAAAGCTGCCATTTAACAAAGAAGTTTTATGAATACAGTGCATCTTGATCAATTTCATCCCTTTCAACATTTTCCTTTTGCTCAAGTGAACATTTGTCATGTGATTACAAAGACATTTAATGGTTGTGGGGTTAGGCTTAAAGAATTTCTATATGCATCAGCTAATTCCGAATTTTCATAATTTCCATATACCTGGAACTCTTTCAAATACATTAACTGGAATGAAATAGGTTGAATGTCATAAAATTTTCAGTTTCAAATTGAAATTACGGAATCTGGGTAATTTTATCCACTAACTCTGAAACTGTAGGGCTAGAACATAGATTTTAAATAGGTGAAGAGCAGTTGGGTAAAACAGAGTGTGTTGTGTGTAAGAGTGGGAATAGAAGTTCCAGAGGAGAAAGTCTGATGTGGATTTAGAAAAGCCAGGTGAGACAACTAATCAGGCTCAGGATGGAAATTTTTTATGAAAAATTTTGTGTGTGAGAGAGAGAGAGAGAGAGAGAGACTACCTCTCAACTTACTTTTTAGTTTTCTTGTAGCCTTATGGCTTGGGTATTTGTAGGAACTGGAAATAAGAATAAACCCATGGTCTGGAAATGTTTTGTGTCCACTTCAAGCCACTGGCTTCCTTATGGAGTTCTCGGTTGAAATGAAATTGTTTCTCCAAAGCAGCTTTTTGCCTAAGGAGACAACCCCGCCCCCCCCAGGTGCAAGAATAAGTACCCTAGAAATCTTGTAAGTTGGTAGAGCTTTGCATCTGAATAATCATCTGATGGGCTGGGTTTTAGATAATATTCTGCATGTTTAGTAACTATATAAAGTTTAGGGTATCCTGAGCATCTTCTTAGAAAAGCAAAAAGGAAGACATAATTTACAATTGTTAAACTGGTACTATAAGAGTACCTGTGCTGAGCTGGGCTCTGGTGGCTCATCGTTTAATCGTAGCTACTCAGGAATCTGAGACCTGAGCATTTTGATTCAAAGATAGACTGGGCAGGAAAGTCTTATCTCCAACTAGTCAAAATCTGTAAATAGAGCTATGGCTCAAGTGGTCAAGGGCCAACCTTGAGCAAAAAACTTTAAGGGACAGCACTCTGGCTTTGAGTTCAAGCCCAGAAAAGTACCTGGGCTGGTTATCACACAGTGAAGATGAAACCAAGTCAGTTAGCATTGTTTTAATCCTTGGATTCTGAAATGAAGTTGAATATGGTTCAGTCCTTTGCTGTGTGTGTTTGTTCATGGCGTTCCTGTACTTTGGTTAGGACTCAGGGCCTAGACACTCCCTGAGCTTTTTTGCTTAAGGCTAGCACTATACTGCTTGAGCCACAACTTCACGCATAGCAGTTCAGTGTTTTATTGGAGATAAGAGTCTCAGGGCCTTCTGTTCCTGGGCTGGCTTCAAAATTTGATCCTCATCTCAGCCTCCTGAGTAACTAGGATTAAATAAATAGGTGTGAGCCACCTCTCAGGACACTCCTACTTAAGTATTGAGGAAGACAGTGGGTTCAAAATCAGGGTCAACACTTCCCTTAGCATTACTTTCTTTGGGAGGTCTCCTTTTCTTTTGAGGTTCTGAACAAACGCTTCCCCCACCCCCTCATGGGTACCTTTGCCTAATATCCAGTACCTGGCTTTCTCCTGAGCTTGTTTCATCACTTCCTCCAGAGCCAGCTTTGCTTCCTCTTCCTTTTGCCTTCTCTCCTCAGCCTCTAGCAGAGCCTTCTCTTCTGCTTCCTGTTTCCGCAACTGGTATTCCAGGCGTTCCTCTTCAGCCATTTCCATCAGATGTTTCTGTTCGTCTGCTAACTGCATTTCCAATTCCTTCTGCCTCTGCTTCTCTGCCGCTACAGAATAGAAAGGGGAGTGTGATTAGAGGGTGTGTTAATGGGCCACTTTGGAAATGTGTGGTTCCCAGGGACTCAGAAATTCTGCTTTATCACAGGTTGCCAGATCCTCTGTAGGGGATTTTCAGTCCCTGAAGGTGTCCTGAAGCCATTCAGGAGTAAGAATTTAGGAGGCAACAGCTGAGCTAAAAGGGAAAAGGGATTACTGAGTTGGCAGTGGGACCCTAGAGTCATTACCACAAGTTCTTTTTCTTCCTATTTTAGGTTACAGCAATTCACCATAGTCACATGTAATAATCACTTTGAAAAAAAAATCAGCTTATACATTTAGAGTGCTTCATTCACGAATGCCTAGGATAGATACAAATGTACACCCACAGTTAAATATTTCTGCCTCAGACAAGGTGCACACGAAGAACTCCGAAGAATCCCTTACCAGCCTTCTCAGCTTGCTCCTGCTGCTTTTTTTGTTGCATTTCTTGCAGCTTCCTCCGAAACTCCTCTTGCTGTTGCCGGGCCCTCTCCTGGGCCGCTTGCAACTGGAGCCATTGCTTTCTCTCCTCTTCCTGCTGCTGCTTCTGTGCTTCTTCCAGTCTCTGTTTCTGCAGGCTGAGAAAAAAAGAGGCCGGGAAATGACAAAAAGCCCTAGACAAGCCTACAGGTAGTGTGAGTGCTCCCCAGGAGGGCTTCAGTAGCTTCCAGGCCAGCATCCAGCTGCTCATCATAAAAGGTTTTTCCAGTGGAAGCCAGGATTGAAATACTGGGAGGTCAGAACCATAAACCTAAGAGTTCCAGTACACAGCTCCCCTCAAATTCTCAGAGCTTCACTTTCCATTACAAAACAGAATTTGAAACTCCTGCCTCAAGGTTGTAGAGATTAGAGTCAAAACCTGTGGAAGGACCTAAAGCAAAGCAGACCGCTGCAGAACATCTAAGAATGTTTGTTGTTCTGAATCTCAAAGCCTTTCCTAGATGACCTATCAGCAACTATCTTGAGTATCTTCCCAGGTCTGGAGTGGGTCTTATCTCTGGTCTAGGCTGTTCATAGATTCCCCTGGGGAAGGTGAATAAGCCCTGGAGGGAGATCAGTCCCCAGCCTTTTCCAGTCTGCTGCTTAACAGACTTACCGGATCTCTTCTGCTCGTTTCTGCTGCTCCAGCTCCAGCTCCTCTTTCATCTTCTCTGCTCTCTCCATCTGCTCCTGCTGTAGCTTTCTTACCTCTTCTTGCTCCCTTCTCTTCCTTTCCACCTTCAGCCGCCTCAACTCAGCCCTCTCTGCTCGAAGTCTGTTCCTGGAAACCTTTTCCTGCTCCTTAGCTACAAGGGCCTAAGAGCAGAATGTTTTTAGTGGGAGGAAGCTGTAAAACAGTCTTGTCTCTCTTTTTTTTTTTTGTCGGTCGTGGGGCTTGACCTCTGGGCCTGGGAGCTGTCCCTCAGCTCTTCAGCTCAAGGCGAGCGCTCTACCACTTGAGCTACAGCGCCACTTCTGGTTTTCTGGTGGTTTATTGGTGATAGGAGTCTCAAGGTCTCTCCTGCCTGGGCTGGCTTTGAACCGCGATCCTCAGATCTCAGCCTCCTGAGTAGCTAGGATTACAGGCGTGAGCCACCAGCACCCGACAGTCTTGTCTCTTTTAAGGGGGGGGGGCAATCTTAGCTAATTAGATTATCTGATCACTCTATTAATCTAATTATTTAACATAATTAGATAACCGAATCCACTTGGGTGACAAACTATTGTCACTACTTGCCTGGACAGTGGGGTCCTGCTGACTTGGACTCAGGTCTCACATGCTTTGGGATTTAGAGAAGCCAACTTAATTTCCCTGATACTGTTTTCCTCCCAGAGCTATTACCTGGGTTCACTGAAATAATGAAGGTGACAAATAGTGTTCAAACTAGGCTGTGGTGGCTCACACCTGTAATCCTAGCTACTGAGACTGAGATCTGAGGATTATAGTTTGAAGCCAGCTTAGGCAGGAAAGTCCATGAGACTCTTATTTCCAATTAATTACAAGAAAACCAGAAATGGAGCTGTAGATCAAAGTGGTAGAGCACTAGCCTTGAGCAGAAAAGCTAAGGGACAGTGCCCAGACCAAGCTCCATGACTGGAAAACAAATATATTGGAGGTTCCACAGTTGAACCCTAGCTATCTTTGAAATTATCCAAGGCAAAAAAAGGGGGGGAGGTAGGGACAGTGCTCCTCCCAGACCAATTAAATAAATATCTTTAAGTGGAGGACTGCCTTAAAAAAAAAAAAAAGCCAGGTGCCTGTGGCTCACTCCTGTAATCATAACTACTCATGAGGCTAAGATCTGAGGATTGCAGTTCAAAGCCAGCCTGGGCTGTGAGACTTTTTATCTCCAATAAACCATCAGAAAACCGGAAATGGTGCTGTGGGCCAAGGCTTGAATTGAAGAGCTGAGGGACAGTGCCAGGCCCAGAGTTCAAGCCCCATGACAGACAGGGGAAAAAAAAGCTTCTAACTTGAAGCCAGGGCTAGAAACTACTGTGACCAAAGCAGGACCATTTTTCAGAGGCAATCTTAGGTATGGAGGGGTCAGATTCACATTTTAATTCTAGCAACCCACCATTTTTTTTTCACTGACATCATGTTGTAGCTTTCTTTGTAATGCTTCCTCCTCACTGATAAGTCTCTAAGGAGAGACTTGAGAGGTAACTTTTTCCCTGGGACTCTACCCCAGCCCAGATAGAAATTTCAAGCTTTTAAGCTTTTGTAGAAGCAGCAGGGTACTGTGGAGTGACAATAAATTTAAGAAATTCTGATGATCTAGCAGACACAAAGTACCAACCATTAAAATTTCCATCAGTTGTGCAAAATTCTGTAATCTGGATAGTAGAGAGGGTTTGCAGACTATAAAGGAAAAAGCTTCCTGAAATCTCTTCTGGAAAATGCTGTACTATAAAATAAGCAGTCAATACTTTAGAATAGTGATAAGAACTTTGAATTTGAAATTTGTTGTTGGCTCAACCACTCAATAGTTTGTGTAATATCTGTCTAAGCTTTTAACTCGGCTTTAATTTCCAGGTTTGTAAGCTGAAGCTTGTTATAATAGACTAACAAATGTGGTTTGAAAGGTTGAATGAGATTTAGCTTCATATACTAAATGTAGATATAACTTACAGGATTTTAACTATAGCTGTGTGTGTGTTTGTAGTATGTAAATATACTTTTGGGGGGCTGGGAAAATGGCTCAGTGGTAGAGTGCTTGCCTCACATGCATGAGGCCCTGAATTCAATTGCTCAACACCACATAAGCAGAAAAAACCAGAAGTGGTGCTGTGGCTCAAGTTGTAGAGTGACAGCCTTGAGCTGAAGAGCTAAGGGAGAGCGCCCAGGCCCAGAGTTCAGTCCCTAGGACCAAACAAAAATATAAAAAATAGGGCTGGGAAGGTGGCTCAGTGGTAGAGCGCTTGCCTTGCATGCATGAGGCCCTGGGTTCGGTTCATCAGCACCACATAAGCAAAAAAGAAAAAAGCTGGAAGTGGCGCTGTGGTTCAAGTGGTAGAGCGCTAGCCTTGAGCTGAAGATCTGAGGGCCAGCACCCAGGCCCAGAGTTCAGGCACCACGACTGGACCCCCCCCCCAAAAAAAAGACATAAAAATATATATAAAAATAAAATAAAATATACTTTTTGGGTATAAGCCCTCCAATACAGTTCAGCTCATGCATCTCCCTGGGCTGTGTCAAGTCCTCTCTAGAAATGGTCTATCAGTATAGCATTCTTTTTGGTTAATTGCAGAGAATTTCTAGAGTAATTTCCCTTATACCTGCTTTTTTTTGTTTGTTGTTGTTCCTTCTATTTAAATCTCCACATTGCTCATAAAACAAATCAACTTTTACATAAAACACTTTTTTTTTCCCCGATCCAGAACTCGGCTTGGGTGCTGTCCCTAAGCTCCTTTTTTCTCAAGGCTAGCACTCTACCACCATTTGAGCTACAGCACTACGTCTGTCTTCTTCTGTGATAAATTGGAGATGAGATAGTCTCACAGACTTTCCTGCCCAGGCTGGCTTTGAACTGAGATCCTCAGATCTCAGCCTCCTGAGTAGCTAGGATTACAGGCGTGGGCCATCATTCCCAGCATATAAAACTTTTTTTTTTTTTTTTGCCAGTCCTGGGGCTTGGACTCAAGGCCTGGGCACTGTCCTCCTTTTGTTCAGGCTAGCACTCTATCACTTTGAGCCACAGCACCACTTTTGGCTTTTTGTTTGTTTGTTTATGTGGTACTAAGGAATCGAACTCAGGGCCTCATGATGCTAGACAACCACTCTACCACTAAGTTGCATTCCCAGCCCACATAAAACACTTTCTTTTTGTTTTGTTTCGTTTTTTTTGTCAGTGGTAGGGACTGAACTCTTGGCCTGGGCGCTGCCCCTCAGCTCTTCAGCTCAAGGCTTGAGCCCTACCACTTGAGCCACGGTGCTACTTCCTGCTTTTTCTGCTTATGAGGTGCTTGAGGAATCGAACCCAGGACCTCATGCATGGGAGGCAAGCACTCTCCCACTAAGCCAACTTCTCACTCCCTCACATAAAACACTTTCTTTCTTTTTTTGGGGGGAGGGTCCAGTCATGGGGCCTGAACTCTAGGCCTGGGCACTGTCCCTCAGCTCTTCAGCTCAAGGCTAGTGCTCTACCACTTGAGCCACAGCGCCACTTCCGACTTTTTTCTTTTTGCTTATGTGGTGCTGAGGAATCAAACCCAGGGCCTCTGGCATGCAAGGCATGCGCTCTACCACTGAGCCACCTTCCCAGCCCACATAAAACACTTTCTAAAGCAGATGTATGTGCATGAACTGCCTTTGCTTTAACTGTACCAACAGAAAAGCAGATTCCAAAAGGGGAAATTTCTATAGCTTTTGGGAGGCCAGGAAATGAGCTCTAGGCTAAGTCAATGTTATGTGATTGTTTCTGATGGCCAGTGTCCATGAGGTCCACCCCTGTCTGATGAGACCTGTACCTGGCAAAAATGGCTGTGGTACCTACCTCAGTTCTTTGGGAGGGGTTGGTACTGCCCATTAGTTTTGGGTCTAGCAGAATGCCCTTTTCTTTGAGCTTATCTGGCTTCTCTATAGGGTCTGAAGCCACCAAAGTAGAACAAATCAGATTGTTATACAGTGGAGTTCTTTTAGAACTTCTTTTAGCATTTTAGATAAGGACCAAACTCCCTTGAACCAAGATGAGAGACAATGTTGCCCCTACCTTTGACAGGTCTTCAGGGCTTTTCTCTTCTTCATATTCCATGTTGTTAGTAACAGTCACAGGCTGAGTGGATGAGGATCTTCTGTCTATAGAAACTTGTGTCTCCTGGACATCATACTGTGGAGAAGACCAACGGTCTGCTTCTATAATAGAGTGTGAACGGATGAAGCGTCTCTCAGGGGTGCCCTTGGCTTCTCTGAGTGGGCCCCCAGGTCCACTCAGCTCTGCTGATAACGCCACATTCCTTTTCTTTTGTGTCCTTTGCCTTTTGGCTCCAGGTTTTTTCCCTTTGGGAATTGCCTCTAGTTTCTTGGCAGCCTTAGAGTTCTTTGGTTTTTCTGGGAAAACAATTGGGGGCAGAGGTATAAATGAATTAGGAAATAGGATCTTTCCTCATCCTTTTAGTCACTTTTTTGTCTTCCACAGGAAGAAGGTGCAAATTCCGGAGCCCTAGCTCTAGAACCTGAGTCTGTTGTGACAACATTTTGAGAATAGTACTAAGACTATCTATTGAGACACTACTTTATTCCTATTTGAATCAACTATCATTCAGCAGTATTGCTATTCAAAAAGTATTTCTGGGCTTAGGGATGTAGTTTAATGGGAGAGCATGTGCTCAGTAGCATGTGGAGACCCTTGGTTTAATCTTACCCTGACCACTAGTAGGGTGGTACTCTTTTTCCAGGCATACCTGGAAGCCCTGCCCTGAGCATTTGACTTGCAGACTTGCAGCTCTGATGAGGTTCACTACCCTGCAGACTTCCTCAGTTCTTTTTTTTTTTAATTTAATTTTGTTGTAAAGGTGATATACAGAAGGGTTACAGTAACATAAATAAGGTAAGGAGTACATTTCTTGTCAAACTTGTTATTCCCTCCCTTGTTTTTCTCCCACTAACCACCCCCTTTCCCCACCCCACGACTCCTCTCCTCCCTGCCCCCAGTTCTTTTTTTAAGGGTATAACATTTGTTTTTCTTAGCTTGGCCAATGTCATGAGCTACACAAATGTAAACTTAGCAAGAGTTTAATAATAAAAACCAAGAATAGATACCCAGGAGGTGTGTCCTATGTTGTCCTTCCAACAGCAAGGATGGGCATAAGTTTTTGTTTTTTTGCCAATCCTGGGGCTTGACCTCAGGGCATGGGCACTGTTCCTAAGCTTCTTTTGCTTGAGGCTAGCACTCTACCACTTGACTCACAGTGCCAGTTCTGGCTTTTTCTGTTTATGTGATACTGAGGAATTGAACCCAGGCTTCATGCATGCTAGACAAGCACTCTACCACTAAGCCACATTCCCAGCCCCTCTTCCTAGCTTTCCAAGGAAGCAAACATGCACAAAATTGTAGAGGATTTTTTCAACTCAGCTCTGAAAAACAGAAAAATAACTATATATTCTATACCATCCCTTTTCATAAGGGTAGAACAGGAAATAAACAGGCAAGTGAACATTGCAATACAAACCAGCCATGACAGTTTTGGGTGTAAAGCTAGACTCCAAAGTACAGTAGATCTGGAAGGATGTGCCCTTTAGTATGGCCTCTGTGGTGAGTTCAGCTACATCCTCTGACAATTCCCCCAAACTGGGTCTTGACCAACCACATTTATTTCCCTCATAATTGTGACATCTGATGAGCATCTGATTGTCACCTCTGATGTCTCTACCTCCTCTATGTCTCCAAATAATGTGTCATCACTGAACCTGAGCACATCTTCCAACTAGAACTGAACCCAGTACTCCAATTGTGTTTTGTGGGCTAAATGCCTGGAAGCAGAAGTATTTCAGAGTTGGGTCTGACTTTGAAATATTTACATATACATAATGAGCTATTTGGGAGAATCAAGGCCCAGGAAATTTGTTTATGCTTCCTTTATATACTCCTGATACACATAGCCTGAAGGTTAATTTATACAGTATTTTCAGTGTGCCTGAATTTTGACAAACTTGTAACATGAGTTCAGGTGTGGAATTCACTTGTGGTATTTTTTGCTGTTCAAACAGTTTCAGATTTGGGGATATTGTGGATTTTGGATTTCATATTAGGGATCTCAATCTGTAGTTATAAATTGTTGGAGGCTGAAGATAGTGTGACAGGGAATCAATGCTTTCCTATTGACTGAATGCATTTCTTTACTACCTGTTTGACATGTCAGTTGTTCATGCTTTCTCAGCCCAGCTGCTACATGAATAGGATGGCAACACCCTCTTCCCAAGGGCTTCATGAGTTCACACATTCAGACCTCCTAATGCTATGGCTATGTAGTTTTGGAGTATGTTATTATTTAGACCCCCAAACCTGCGCAGTAAGACACTGCCTTAACGTGGAAGTTGAGGAGACTAGACAGATAGCTTGTCCCCCAGAAGGTGTGCTAATTCTTGATACTGCCTCCTAGCCCTGACAGGAGCCTTCTGGGTGGTTCTCTTGGTTTTGCTCTCATTCTCTTTGGGAGTACTAGGGTGGGAACTCAGAGTCTTGCCTTTGCTTGGTAGATGCTTTACCACTGAGCCATGCCTTCAATCCCTTGTTGGTTGTAAGGTTTGAAGTCAGGGCCTGGGCATTGTCCCTGAACCTTTGTGCTCAAGGCTAGCACTCTACCACTGTGAGCCACAACCCCACTTCCTAGTTTTCTGGTGGTTAGTTGGAGATAAGATTCTCATGGACTTTCCTGCCTGGGCTGGCTTTGAACTGCAAACCTCAGATCTCAACCTCCTGAGTAGCTAGATTACAATTATAAGCCACTGGCAACTAGTTTTTTTTTTTTTTTAACGCGAAGTTTTGGTTTTTGTCTAGGCCAGCCTGGACTGCAGTCCTCCTGTTTGAACTCCTATTCTCATGTAGCTGGGATGACAGGTATGAGCCACCATGCCCAACTTGAAAACACTCTCTTACCCACAGCTACCTTTGTTGCCCTGGAGACCTTTTCTTCTATCTCTCTGTTGGATGCTTTGTTCTTCTCTGTCTTGATTCTTTTTTTCTCCTTGGCCTTGTTGATCAACTCCCTCTCCTAAAGGTGGGAAATTAAGGAAAAGGGACTATAACATGTAGAAAAAAACCTGCAAAAACCTATCAAAGAAAGATTCTGTTGAATAAGGTGACAGAGACTTAGAATGGGATGTGTTTGGGGTGTGGATGAAGCAGTAGAATGAGTTTCAGAGAATCTGGAGGTAGTTAGGAGAGTCAAAGGCCAAGCCTTCTATTTTAAATGGCTAGGGAGTAATATCATAGGAGAAAAGAGAAAGAAAACACACCCACTTCCTTTTTTTGATGCTAAATCACAGACTACTGAGCTGGATCAAAGTGAAGCAGTTTTCACCTTTGGTAGGTTGGTCCAACTGTTTTTTTTTTTTTTTTTTTATCAAAACCAGCTTTATTCTCTTCTGCATCATTGCTAACTTGTAGGAAGTCTCAGGGAAGTGACCACAGCCATAGTTGTCTTCACCTTTCCCCAGGGCTGTGAGAGCATGGTGGGGCCATAGTCACCCACTCAGTACTTGTAGAAATTGAAAGTGGTCTCTATCTTTTAGGAGGATGCAGTACAATGCTGAGGTGCAGGGCTTGGTGAGCAGACCACAGCTAGACTTCCACAACCACCTGCCCCTTCGTCAGGTGCTCCAGTAGAGTGAGCAACTTAAACACCGATGCATAGTAACCCCAGCAGGATCTATGTGGAGCTTCTGGATCAAGCCACTGAATGTGTGCACTTACAGGACTGATGGTACCTGGTGCCTGCTGGTTGAACAATCGTGGTACAGTCTTCCCTTCTCTTACTCTTGGAAGAAGAACTGTGTCCATAATGCCCAACTTCTCTGGTGGCTCAAGTCCAGGTTCTGGCAGTCCTCTGTGTATATGGTGTCCACCATTGTCTCTGCCCCTTTTAAGACAGCAAAGAGCAAAGTGTGGGTAGAGGGAAGAGAGCAAGTGACCAGATGTCCACTTCATATGTTCTCTGCTGAACCCTTGTGTTTGACAAATGTAACTTCTTTTCTTTTCACATCCCAGGGTCAGCAAGAGTATAGAGTGCTCTTTACTTTTTTTTTTTTGGTCGGTTGTGGGGCTTGAACTCTGGGCCTGGGCGCTGTCCCTCAGCTCTTCAGCTCAAGGTTAGCACTCTACCACTTGAGCCACAGCGCCATTTCCAGTTTCTGCTGTTTAATTCGAGATAAGAGTCTCATGGACTTTCCTGCCTGAGCTGGCTTTGAACTGTGATCCTCAGATCTCAGCTTCCTGAGTAGCTAAGATTACAGGCGCAAGCATTTTGTTCCCAGCTTGCACTTTACTTTTTTTTTTTGGTCCAGTCGTGGGGCCTGAACTCTGGGTCTGGGCGCTGTCCCTCAGCTCTTCAGCTGTAGACTAGCCCTCTGCCACTTGAGCCTCAGCCCCACTTCCGGCTTTTTCTTTTTATGTGGTGCTGAAGAATTGAACCCAGGGCCTCATGCATGCAAGGCAAGCACTCTACCACTGAGCCACCTTCCGAGCCTTCTAACAATAACTTTTTAAAGAATAAAACTCAAGGGATTGGGAAGGTAGCTCAGTGGTAAAGTGTTTGCCATGCATGTATGAGGCCCTGGGTTCGATTCTTCAGCACCACATAAACAGAAAAAGCCAGAAGTGGCGCTGTGGCTCAAGTGGTAGAGTGCTAGCCTTGAGCTGAAGAGCTGAGGGACAACACCCAGACCCAGAGTTGATAACTGACCAAAAAAAAGAAAAAAGTCATTATTAGCATGCATTAATAAAATAATTGACTATGAAAATGGAGCTGATTCCATACATGTGTCTAGTGTTCTTTGTTATTTATTTATTTATTTAGTCAGTTGTGGGACTAGAACTCTGGGCTTGGACACTGTCCCTCAGCATTTCAGCTCAAGGCAAGCGCTCTACCACTTTAGCCACAGCACCACTTCCAGTTTTCTAACCTCCATCCTCAGATCTCAGCCTCTTGAGTAGCTAGAATTACAGGCGTGAGCCACTGGTGCCCTGCGTGTCTAGTGTTCTTTGAACAAATGCATTCCGTCAACATCCTAGTTTTGTTCTTGTTCAGATTCAGCCACTACTGTGGCAGTTTTGTATGAAGAGCCGTCACTGACTTGTTCCCTATGGGTAGAGAGAGTGGATGAGTCTTGGAATAGCAGCAGAGATACTATTCGCTGTGGTGTACAAGGCTTGGTTCAGCGAATTTTCTCCTTTTTGCTAAGTCAGGATATTTATTGTGCTGTGCTAGCACAGGGCCTTGCTGTGGAGATTTGAGAAATACATCTTGAATGAGGTAAATGGAATTTCCTCTAAGTATATGAGTCTTTAAATCATTTAGTGTCACTTTATAAAAACTCACAGAAGTCTCCTTTAGTATTTAGTGCTAGGAGAGGCTGGGAAGGTGGCTCAGTGGTAGAGCGCTTGCCTTGCATGCTTGAGGCCCTGGGTTCGATTCCTCAGCACCACATAAGCAAAAAGAAAAAAAGCCGGAAGTGGCGCTGTGGCTCAAGTGGTAGAGCTCTAGCCTTGAGCTGAAGAGCTGACGGACAGCGCCCAGGCCCAGAGTCCAGGCCCCACGACCGGACCCAAAAAAAAAAAAATTAGTGTTAGAAAAACCTTTTTTCCCTGAGGAGCAGGTATGCTGTAAATAATTACCATGGACCTGGTCAAATCACCTTTTTCTCTCTCATTTATATTTAGAAATTTCTGTATCAAAGTTTATATTTGGTCACAATAACTGTAATGACTTGGGGGATATTTTTTTTTGTGAAAATACTGTACAGAGGGGTTACAATTACATGGGCAAGATAATGAGTACATTTCTTATCAAGCATTGTAGCCTCCTCCTTTGTTTCCCCTTCCCATTTGGGGGATATTTGTTAAGCCTCCAGATGAAAAAAGTTCTTCAGCGATTTTGTCTTTTTGGATGGCAGGTAGTACTGTTCAAATATGTAGCAGGAAAAGATAAGGCATAAAAACGTAAAAATGGGGCTGAGAATGTGGCTTAATGATAGAGTACTTGCCTAGCATGTATGAAGCCCTGGGTTTGATTCCTCAGTACCACATAAACAGAAAAAGCCAGAGGTGGTGCTGTGGCTCAAATGGTAGAGGGCTAGCTAGCCTTGAGCAAAAGAAGCTCAGGGACGGTATCCAGGCCCTGAGTTCAAGCTCCAGGACTGGCAAAAAGAAAAAAAAAGTAAAAGTAGAATTCCTTCAGTTATTTAAACACCTTTCTCTGTTTATTGCTGGTAAACACAAAACATTTTTGACCCAGGAGGAGAGCTGTTACACCCTTGGGCAGGTGGAGCTGGTTCTTCTTACCCAGCTTCACAGTGGTCATGACAGGCTATAGTTCAGATGGAGGCTCCGGAGCCATGACCACCCCAGCTGCCATGAACAAGGACTCTGCTCAAATGACTGGAGTGTCTGGCTGAGCTACTGGACAACGAGCTGACAGCAAGCACGCAGGGAGTACGCAGGAGGTGCTTAATTTATGTCACACTTGTACTGGTGTTACAGTCATATGGCTTCACCCAGAGCTTCATCCAGCATCTTGGTAGATTTCAGATACATAGACAAATGGAAAAGGCTGCTTTCATGGCAGCTTTTAGACTTTACTCGCTACCCATATGACTAACGTGTGTTCTTCCCCAGGAATCTGTTTCTTTTAATTTTAGCTATGAGCCCAGACCACTCAGAAGAAAATGGAAACTAAGGGCTGGGAAGGTGGCTCAGTGGTAGAGCGTTTGCCTTGTATACATGAAGCCCTGGGTTCGATTCCTCAGCACTACATAAGCAGGAAAAAAAAAGGCCAGAAGTGGCGCTGTGGCTCAAGTGGTAGAGCACTCACCTTGAGCTGAAGAGCTGAGGGACAGTGCTCAGGCCCAGAGTTCAGGCCCTACAACTGGACCCCCAAAAAAAACAAAGAAAAAGAAAAAGAAAACAGACACCAAATTAATTGAAAGTAAAGAAAAAATACAAAAATGCAGACAAGTTGGGTACCAGTGGCTCAAGCCTGTAATTCTAGCTACTCAAGAGACTGAGATGGAAGTTCAAAGCCAGGCTGGGCAGGAAAGTCCCTGAGATTCTTATCTCTAATTAACCAATAGAAAACTGTAAGTGGTTCTGTGGCTGAAGTGTTAGAGTGCTCGCCTTGAGCTGAAGAGCTCAGGGACAGTGCCTAGGGCCAGAGGTCCAGCCCCATGACCACCACCACCAACAACAACAAAAAAGTAGAAAAATCTATGTCACCATAATTTTGAACACTTACCTGTTTTTTACAGTGTCTGCCAAGGGGTCCTGGATGGACTCAGCCTGGGAAGTACTAAGAGGCTGAAAGGTCACACTCATTGTCTCTGGGTCTGCGGAAACAAACAGCATCTTCCATCAGCAAAGCACATAAGCAGCTGTCCTGGGGAGATTTCAGACGTGCTGAAGTGTCTATCTGGTGAGTAGTCCACTGTGCATAAGATGCCCTAGGAAATAAGAAAATGCTACAAAAGCCAGTGTTGGCACAGGCACCTGAGTAATATTAAAGTTACTATGAAAACATTGTTTTGAGGGCTGGGAAGGTGGCTCAGTGGTAGAGCGCTTGCCTTGCATGCATAAGGCCCTGGGTTCCATTCCTCAGCACCACATAAGCAGAAAAAGCCGGAAGTGGTTCTGTGTCTTTAGTGGTCTAGCGCTAGTCTTGAGCTGAAGAGCTGAGGGTCAATGCCCAGAAAGAAAATAATGCGAAAGAAGAAACAACCTTTTTGTTACAAGTTAGTTAGTGCATTATTGTTCATAATGAAAATTTAGAAAGAGCTTAACAAAAAAGATTTGGGAAGTAATTTATGATATATTACTTCGATGTTAAAAATTATGCTTAAAAAGAGAAATATGCAGTGTGGAAAGTATAATGACAAAATAGATTAAAGAAAAGTGTATTAGAACTCAATTAAGTCTCAATGGATAAAGATCAGAAGAGAAGCCGGTTACTGGTTGCTAATAACTCTAAACCTAGTGATTCAGGAGTCTGTGATATGAGGATTGTGATTTGAAGCCAACCCAGGCAGGAAAGTCTGTGAGACTCTCATCTCAAGGACCACTCAGAAAAAGCTGGAAGTAATGCTGTGGTTTAAGTGGTAGAGTGCTAGCTTTGAACAAAAGATGCTCGAGGATAAGCACCAGGCCCGGAGTTAAAGCCCCAAGAGTAGACCAAAAAAAAAAGAATGTTGGCTTGTGATATGGCTCACTGGTATGGGCTCGAACCTAGCACTACCAACACGCAAAACTGAAATGTCATCCTATGACGAGACGTTATGTATGCCATATAGCAGCTGTAATGCTACAGTTAATCTATTTTTCAGTGTTCAGTCAGTCATGCCTTGCTCCCCCCACTCCCCATATCCAGGGCCTCTTGACAAGTTGGCAAAGGTTACTTTTGCCATTCCCAGACATTCAGGGTGGCATTCACTCCAGGTATGGAAGGGGAACAAGATGTACAATGTGGTTAAGAAAACTGTAAGTCTGGGAAGGTGGCTCAGTGGTAGAGCGCTTACCTTGCATGCCTGAGGCCCTGGGTTCGATTCCTCAGTACCACATAAGCAAAAAAGAAAAAAGTGGCGCTGTGGTTCAAGTGGTAGAGCGCTAGCCTTGAGCTGAAGAGCTGAGGGACAGCACCCAGGCCCAGAGTTCCGGCCCCATGACCGGACCAAAAAAACAAAACAAAACAAAAAAACAGCAACAACAAAAAAAACTAAGTCTGTTTAGGGCTGTAGGGAGTTTATTTTACTTTAGATAATATGTAACATTAACAGAGAAGAGGATCTGGGTATCTCCATGAAAAGGAGAATTTGGGATGGTTTCTTGTTTTTCTTTTGTCAGTCATAGGGCTTGAACTCAGGGCTTGGGACTGTCTCTGAGCTTTTTTGATCAAGGCTAGTGCTCCACCACTTTGATCCACAGTGCCGCTTCCTGTTTTCTGGGGGTTAATTGGAAATGAGAATCTCATGGACTTTTCTGCCTGAGTTGGCTTTGAACTGGGGTTATCAGATCTCAGCCTCCTGAGTAACTAGGATTACAGGCGTGAGCCACCAGCACCTGGCCAGGGTTTCTTACTTTAACCTTTCACACTCAGGAAACAACAACAAAAACAACTTAAAGACTTTTCATTTCTCTTCACAGTTACTTGAAACTTGAGTGTGAGACAAATACGACCAGCAGGGGGAGCCTTTGTATTGACCAATAGCTGAAATTCTACATTGGTGTAATTTCACCATTTTGATTAGAATTGGGGTGTGCACTAGAACAGGGTTAGGATTACAGGCCTGAGCCACTGACACCCGTCTAGGGTTATTTCTTTTAATCAAACAACCCATTCTTAGGCAGTATTAGAACAAACTAAGACAGAACTTTGAATAACAATTTATAGTCATAAAAAATTAAATATGCAGCATATAAGAAAAATACTGGGGCTGGGAAGGTGGCTCAGTAATAGAGTGCTTGCCTTGCATGCATGGCCCTAGGTTCGATTCCTCAGCACCACATAAGCAGAAAATGCTTATGGCGCTGAGGCTTAAGTGGTAGGGTGCTAGCCTTGAGCTGAAGAGCTGAGGGACAGCACCCAGGCCCAGAGTTCAGGCCCCACGACCAGAAAAAAAAAAGAAAAAGAAAAATACTGTGTAATCATTACTTATGGGATTGAACAAATTGTCACATTTGATTTACATTTCTTCTTCTTTTTTTTTTTTTTGGTCGGTTGTGGGGCTTGAACTCTGGGCCTGGGCGCTGTCCCTGCACTCTCCAGCTCAAGGTGAGCACTCTACCACTTGAGCCACAGTGTCACTTCCATTTTCTAGTGGTTTATTGGAGATCAGAGTTTCACAGGGAAGGTGGCTCAGTGGTAGAGCCCTTGCCTTGCATGCCTGAGGCTCTGGGTTCGATTCCTCAGCACCACATAAGCAAAAAGAAAAAAGCCAGAAGTGGCCAGAAGTGGCACTGTGGCTCAAGTGGTAGAGCGCTAGCCTTGAGCTGAAGAGCTGAGGGACAGCACCCAGGCCCAGACCCCCCCCCTCCAAAAAAAGAGTCTCACGGACTTTCCTGCCTGGGCTGGCTTTGAACCATGATCCTCAGATCTCAGCCTCCTGAGTAGCTTCAATTACAGGCATGAGCCACCAGCACCAGGCTCTGTGAGACAATTATCTCCAATAAACCACTAGAAAACTGAAAGTGGCACAGTGGCTCAAGTGGTAGAGCACTAGCCTTGAGCTGAAGAGCACAGGGACAGCGCCCAAGCCTAGAGTTCAAGCCCCACGAATGACCCAAAAAAAAAAATTGTAGCACTTTGGTCATTTCACACAGTACTATGGCTTTTTTTTTTGGTCGTGGGGCTTGAACTTTGGGTCTGGGCACTGTCCTTGCACTCTTTAGCTCAAGGAGAGTGCTCTACCGCTTGAGCCACAGCACCACTTCTGGCTTTCTGTGGTTTTATTGGAGATAAGAGTCTCATGGGACTTTCCTGCCCAGGCTGGCTTTGAACTGTGATCCTCAGATCTCAACCTCTTGAGTAGCTAGGATTACAGGCATGAGCCACCGGTGCCCTGCCAGTACTATGGCTTTTGTACTCTCCTAAGTTCATCTGCTAGAAACTTAATTTCCAATGCAGTGTTGCCAGGTGAAGCCGAATGTAAGGATTATGAGAGTAGTTTGTACTCTATCCTTCTACATATAAGGATCCAAGATTTGTTCTCTCTTTCCCTTCTACCATGTGAAGAAGCAGGAAGAAGATACACATCAGATGCCAGCATCTTGATCTTGGGCTTTCCAGACTTCAGAACTATGAGAACAAATTCTTGTTCTTTATAAGTTACCCAGTATCAGGGATTCTGTTGTAGTAGAACAAAACAGATTAAGACACACACTCTTACTTCCTTCATTCCATCTGCAGAGGTTTTCTTTTTTAATCAGTCTTCATACATATTTTTACATTTAAATGTACTATGAAGTGCATTGGTACATTTTGTGTTGCTTATACAAAGTACGTGAGACTGGGATACTTATAAAGGAAACAGGTCGTGGCTGGGAAGGTGGCTCAGTGGTAGAGCGCTTGTCTTGCATGCATGAGGCCCTGGGTTCGGTTCCTCAGCACCACATAAGCAAAAAGAAAAAATCTGGAACTGGTGCTGTGGCTCAAGTGGTAGAGCGCTAGCCTTAAGCTGAAGAGCTGAGGGACAGCTCCCAGGCCCAGAGTTCAAGCCCCATGACTGGACCCAAAAAAAGAAAAGAAAAGAAAGGAAACAGGTCTATCTTAATATCTCGTTCCAAAATCCAAGCCTATTGTATTGGCAAGTGCTCAGCTTCTGGAGAGAGCCTCAGTGCAAAAAAGCAAGCAGGCACTTGTGGAAGAGAGAGCAGGATCATATGGCAGGGGAGAAAGCCAGCTATAACCTGCTATTGTGATAACTAGCCCACTTTTGAGGGGACTTCCTGAATCCTCTCATGAGAGTTCCATCCCCGTTTTTTCATTTCTTCTTCCTTTCCTTCTTCCTTTCTTCCTTTTCTTCCTTCCCTCCCTCCCTCCCTTCCTTTCTTTCTTTCTTTCTCTCTCTTTCTTTCCCTCCCTTCCTCCCTTCCTTGCTTTCTTTCTTTTTCTTTCTCTCTCTCTTCTTTCTTTCCTCCTTCCTTCTCCATCTTTCCTTTTTTGTGTCCTGAGGCTTGAATTTAAGGCCTGACCTTTTGTACTCTACCATTTGAACCACAGCTCTACTTCTGGATTTTTTTTTTTTGGTAGTTTATAGAGATAAAGAGTCTTGCAGACTTTCTTGCTCAGGCCAAGTGAAGTGCGGAACCCTGCTTCTGATCTCACACTCTACCACTGAGCCCCAGCTCGAAGTCTCCCCTTGAACCTCTAGGTATGAGTTATATAAGCAGCTTTTCAAATATTAGGCCATCTTTGAATTCCTGTGATAAATCTAACTTGGTCATGATGTAATTTTTTTAAGTGGAAGCTTAAGGATTTGATTAATGTTCTATTTAGTTTTGCATGTTTGATTGTGAGATTAGTCTATAATTTTTCCTTTTTTTAACAAAATACGAGGGGCTGGGAAGGTGGCTCAGTGGTAGAGCGCTTACCTTGCATGCATGAGGCCCTGGGTTCGATTCCTCAGCACCACATAAGCAAAAAGAAAAAAGCTGGAAGTGGCTCTGTGGCTCAAGTGGTGGAACGCTAGCTAGCCTTGAGCTGAAGAGCTGAGGGACTGCCCAGACCCAGAGTTCAGGCCCCACGACCAGACCCAAAAAACGAAAAAACCCCGAAAAACCAAAATATGATTCTTGTCTCTGATTTCTGTTTTCTTCTTTCTTTCTTTCGACAGATTTAGGTTACATGTTAGAAACATATTGTCTTTTTTTTCTGGTGAAGATACTTTATTTCTCATAAAAATATAATTGTACAATGCTCTTCAGGAAAATAAAAATTCTTCAATGCCCCAAATACCATGTGGCTTAATCGTTGTTGTCCTTTCGAGAACTAAAGAGGTAATGATATTACGCAGCTGATTTGTGAAATACAGCACTTATGTTTTATAAGTTTTATTTGCCTTTAACTAGAGGTTAAGTGCAGTTTAAACCTATACTTTCTGTAATTAGCCAAATCAAATCTATCATAATTCAAAGCTGATAGGATAAAATAAAACGCTAACTGGTGATGCTGAGTTTAGTCAATTAGTTGGCAAACAGTGAAAGTTGTGATTTAGACAGAAGAGAGAGATTTCTGACTTCACCTGGGCCCGACGCCCTGGCCCAGCCTGGGGGGGCTGCACTCCCTGCTGGTCCATGCTGGGGAGCCGATGCTGAAATTCTGGCAGGTCTCTGGGATGCACACCATACCTCCCCACTTCTCTGCCTTTCTCTATGGGACGGGATGGGGGCTGTGCTCAGTGGGGGTCAGCCCCAGTGGACAAGCAGGGGCACCCCCTCACATGCCCTGCACAGAGAGAGGAAGGGAGAAGCGGGGAGGGGAAGGAGGGAGGAAAGGAAGAAGGGGAAGGGTGAAGGGGGAGGCAGGGCCCATGGCTTCGATCAAAGGGAGCACATGCTTCCAGGCTGCCAAAGTGCGCGGCCAGCACCGTTCCCACGGCAATCGGAACTCCTTTTTCAAGCCCAGGAGAGTCTCTTGGTCTGATCAGGTCCAAAATACCAAGTGGAAAAAGTCAAATAAATCATGCACCAGGCACAGGGACCACCAGATAGGGGCTCCTCGACGCTCACTTTGGAATGTTTGCTTTGAAAGGACTCGGGGCTGTCAAAGAGGACTAAATCCAGCACAGAGGAACAAGAACAGACCACAGTTGACCAGTGGACAATCCGAAGCGGCGTCCTTGAGCACGGTCAGCCATCTCCATTCTGTCTCCAGCACGGCCAGGAATTGCTGGCGGCATCTGCCTTGCCGGTCTTGCCGAGCCTGCTGGTGCTCTGCTGAGATTTGCTCTGCTCTTCTGCAGTGGCAGGGCCTTGATCTCAGAAGGGATTTTTCCTTGGTCCATGGCCACGCACCACTGTTCGTACATGTCCAGCTCCTCTCGGAGGGCACTTACGGCCCGCTCTCGGCTGGACACCAGCTCCTCCAGGTACTGGTATCTGAGCTTCTTCCGGGCAGGCATGCCCGGGCACTCTGCCGGCTCCTCTCCAGTTGGGCTTTCAGGTCAATTTTGGCTAGCTTCCGGCCCGCTGGCCTGGCTTCTTCACTTTGCTACCTACCACCTTGCTGTCGTCCATGGCCACGGGCCTCCGCCCGCCCGGGCGCCGCAGAAGACGAGATGAGGTCCGCTGCTCCTCCCTGGCTCGCCACCTCCGCTGTCCTCCGGCCCGGAGGCTGCCTCCAGACCGGCGAAGCGGACGCTGGGGGCCGCGAACGCCCCGCGATGGGGCCGCTGCCTCCGCAGCTCGCCCCATGGTGGCCTCAGGGTCCACATTGTCTTTTCTGTAGCATGAAAAAACAATTCAGAATCAAGGGTAACAGCTGTGTTGTTCCAGAGACTTTCTTGGGGTTTCCACAATAGGCTGAGGGGGAGTGAGTATGTTCTTGAGATGTTCCACTCCCTGGCCCCATTCTCTCCCATTATGGAGAACTCTGCCATCTTTTCTGGAAGGAAAAACAAAGCATTGCCGAGGTGTAGGTCATGTCAGAGCTAACAACTTGCAGAATCTTTAGAACTGCCAGTGGGCAGCAGGGACTTTGGCCTGGTGCCACAGGAGCCTGGCCGGAAGCAAGGAGCTTGTGGCTGCTGCTCCTTTCAGGCTCCAAGTTCTGTGGGCAGCTCCTTCTGCCCCTGAGCGTGGACTTCCTGCCTTGCCACAGTTTTAGAAGCTTTTTACTTGCACAGGTAGGACAGGCATTGTCCTCTTTCCTTCCGAGGCTGTAACTTCCAAGAATCATCCCCAAGGAAAGGCCTTTAAAACAGAACCAGACAGAACTGGATACCCACAAAGACTGGGCAGATACTTTGGTTACTTTGGTTTTAATAATCAAAATAATTATTGATTTGTGTGCCATATTTTCTTTCATTCATAATATAATTTCCAAGTTGGGTGCTCGTGGCTCAAGCCTGTAATCCTAGCTACTCAGGAGGTCTGAGATCCGAGAGCAGGAAAGTCTGTGAGACTCTTTTTTTTTTTCATTGATCATTAATTTTTAATGAGGAGTAATTCAATATAATGTGCTTTTCAACTAAACTGCTTTTTAAAAATATCCGTGAGACTCTTATCTCCAGAAAACTAGAGATGGTGCTGTGGCTTAAAGTAGTAGAATGCTAGCTTTGAGCAAAAATCACCCAGACCCAGTGTTCAAGCCCTATGAACAACAACAACAACAAAAAAAGGAAAAGACAAAAAGAATTTTATGCATTGGCCCTTTTGTGTATTTGATCTTCTTATAAAATAACCACTATTTTCAAATCTCAAAACTTCCTTATATTATCTTATATTTGCTTGAACCAATGAAAATGAAACTAAAATGAAAATGAAATGAAAACTAATGAAAAAAATTTCCAGGGATTCTGAACGAACTCCAAGATTCATATTCAGACTAGCTTGATAAAAATACTGCCATAATTTTGACGTGACTTCTGAACTTTGTTGTGATTTCCTAATCAGAACACATAGATGTCAACTCAACATAACTTCTCAGGAGTTGTAGAACCCTGGGTCCCAGAGTTATAGTGAAGGGTTAAAGTACTTGAGGCAGTGACCACTTGTTGCTTGTTTAAACCTAAGATCAGCAAATTCTGTTTAGCAGAGCAACACGTGGTGGTCCAAACACCTGGTTGGTTGAGTGCCTTTATAAGCCCTGCAAATGTTTAGCTCAGGGCTCTCCTCCTAGGCTCCGCTGTGTTGGAGTGTAGGACGAGGCCCAAGCCGTAGCCCGTCTAAATAAAACCTTAAAACAGTAAAGTCTGACTCTTGGTGGTCTTCTTGGTGGGAGTCCTGCGACCTGGGCATAACATACTAGTGGGGGCTCGCCCGGGATCCCTCCAAAGACTCCCGAGACCTCAGACTGACAAAGGTAAAACAGTGCTGTCTTTGTTAGTTTGTCTTGTCCTGTCGTTGTCTGTTTGTACTTTCATTTTCCTTTGTGAGGACGGCCGCTCCGATTCGTATTGTGTAAAGGGTTGTCGAAGTGGACGCACTTGCACGACAACCCTGGAGGAACTGGGAGACGTCCCAGATCCTCTTGTGTGTGTGTGTGGGGGGGTCCTTGGAACCCTGTCGTGTGAATTGTGGGGCGGAGGTCCTTGGAACCCCGCCATGAGAATTGTGGGGCGTGGGTCGGTTTGGTGTTGTGCCGGAACTGACCAAGCGGCCCTCCTAACTGAGGCCCAACTTGCCCACTGTGGGTCCGCTCCTTCTGCTGTGGGGGCGTGGGTTGGTGTGGAACCCCGCCGTGACAGGAGTCAGCGGACCAATTTGGGAGATCTCCACTTCATAACTGTCAGGCCTGCGTGTGTTTTGTTTGTACTGTTTGTTTTTTTGGACTGTACTGACGGGACTGGAAACCACGGGCACCACTCCATCTAGCCCCTAGACTTACAAAAAGAAACTAAGAAAGAGGAAAAGAAATTGTAACCCCGGTTTTTCAGGGGGATAACTTGGAAGAAGAAATGTTTCCTCCCCCCTACTCCCCTTCCCAGGTTTCTTTTGCAGAACCTGAGAATGATCAAGAGGAGGAGGGAGCTATAGAACCAGCAGCCAAACCCTCGGCACCTGCCCTTAAACTTTCTGAGGGACCAGTCACTTGCCGATGCCGTGGGATCAACCCCCCTTCTAATGCAGCTGTTTTTCCCTTATGCGTCGTAGGTCCTGTGGATGCGGATGGTCAACAGCAACTCCAATATTGGCCATTTTATACCAATGATCTATATAATTGGCGCACCCAAAATGCCCCCTTTTCTGAGAAACCCCAGGATTTAATTCGTTTGCTTGAAACTATTCTCTTTACTCATCAGCCCACTTGGGATGATTGCAGTCAGCTTTTACAGGTCGTTTTTACCACCGAAGAGAGAGATCGTATCCAAGAGGTGGCCCAGAAACATCCCTGGCCCCATCACGGATCCTGCCTAGATCGCTGCCTATTTTCCTGAGATGGTTGAAGGTAGGGAGCGACTCCTCATCTATCACCAGGCTCTGTTGGAAGGTCTCAAGGCGGCGGCTCGCCAACCTACTAATATGGCCAAAGTTTATGATGTTAGACAGGGAGGAAGTGAAAATCTGGCAGCATATCTTGAGTGGCTCATGGAAGCTTTTAGTCAACATACCCTGTATGATCTTGAGACCCAGGAGTCGGCTCAGATGATTATGTTTGCCTATATAAATCAAGCTGCACCAGACATAAAGCAAAAGTTGCAGGCTCTAGACAGATTTGGTGAAAAGTCTATTAGGGATCTAGTAGCCGTGGCAGAAAAGGTTTACAATAAGAGAGAGACAGAGGAACAAAGACAGGAAAGGAAGGACAGAGAACGTGAAATTGAGTGTAAAAAGAGAGACCGGGCTAAGGAAAAGAGGCTAGACTTGTTGGACTCGCCACTATCGCATGCTGAGCATACCTGGTTCACAGACGGCAGCAGTTTTATTCGAGATGGAAAAAGGTACGCGGGTGCAGCAGTCACCATGGACACTGAGATAGTGTGGGCAGAAGCACTCCCCCAGGGAACGTCTGCACAAAGAGCAGAACTAGTGGCACTAATAAAAGCCCTTACAAATGGGAAAAGGAAGAGACTAAACATTTACACAGACAGTCGGCATGCTTTTGCCACCGTGCATATCCATGGAGCCATTTACCAAGAGAGGGGGCTGCTGACAGCTGAGGGAAAGACTATTAAAAACAAACAAGAGGGGGCTGGGAAGGCGGCTCAGTGGTAGAGCGCTTGCCTTGCATGCATGAGGCCCTGGGTTCAATTCCTCAGCACCACGTAAGCAAAAAAGAAAAAAGCTGGAAGTGGCGCTGTGGCTCAAGTGGTAGAGCACTAGCCTTGAGCTGAAGAGCTGAGGGACAGTGCCCAGGCCCAGAGTTCAGGCCACACGACCGGACCCAAAAAAACAAAAAAGAAATTTTAAGCCTCATCTGGGCCTTATGGGAACCAGCAAATGATTGCCATTATGCACTGCCCTGGCCATCAAAAGGTAAATAACTTGGCCAATCAGGCAGCTAAGGAGGCGGCCCTCCAGCCCAGAGCGAAAGTACTGACTCCAGTAGACCCAGGGCCACAAGCTTTGCCTCCTGAGCCTCAGTACTCCCAAGAAGACTTGGCGTGGATCAAGAAAATTCCCATGGCCTATAAACCCCCGGACAGAAAAGGAAATAAAGACTGGTGGAAAACTGGTGAGGGGAAACTTATCTTGCCACAAAGATTGGACAAGGGGATTCTTTTTTTTTTTTATTGTAAAGATACTATACAGAGGGTTACAGTTACATGAGTGAGGTAATGAGTACACTTCCTCTTGAACATTGTTAGC